AGTGCCAGTCATCTAAAATATATTGTCTGATTTAAATCTTACAACAATACTGGAAAAAAAAAAACCCAGACATTCAAAGAAATTAAATAACTTACCCAAGGATATAGATGAAGCAATAGAAAAATATGTGTATGTCAACGTAGTACACTTTAACACTTAACCTAAGGCATTCATGGTCTCACTAAAATCACTACAAGATATGCATTAAGAACCCCACCCTAGGATCAAAGAGATAGCTCCGCTGGCTGGTCACATATTTCGCATGCAGGAGGCCCAAGTTCAACCCCTAACACCCCATGATGCCTGGTGGGGGGCACCCTGTGTACAGAACCAGCTGGAGCCTCCCCCACATCCCAACCACTACTGGGTGTGATCCAAAACACACGTGCGCGCGCACGCGCACACACACACACACACACACACACACACACAAGAATCTTTACCTCCCCATTTTAAACTAAACGGATGGAGGCTTACCTCATTTTCAATTAGATTTCTATGGGGAAAAAATAAATTATCTATGGTCCATATAAAGTTCGACCATACTTGAATATGTCCTTATTTGGATACAAGTCACACATGAAAATAAGAGGATGGTGGTCTCATAAATTATCGTGCTATCCTGATGTCCTATACGCTTGCCTTATTTTTCACCTATTCTGCAACAAAGTAAAAATAAAGACAAAGTGAAGAGTTTTTCAAAAGTTTAAATAGTTTATTTCATTTTAAAATTATATTCTTGGATCAGAGAGATAATCCAGTGGGTAGGTAAGGTGGTGGTCTTGCACGTAACTCACTGAAGTTTGTTCCCTGACACCACATATGATCGCCAGAACCCTACCAGGAGTAAACACCGAGCACAGCAGGCTGTGGCACAAAAAACAAACAAACAAACAACATAAAGAGCTAAGTGAAGTTAAAAAAAATCTTTATTATTAAAAAAGAAGCACTAATAGCTTACCCAATTTAATTTTTTGGCAACTTTTTTTCCTATCTATTTAAATATGAGACCCAGTGATTTAGTGAATTTATAGAATTAAAATCATTTTTGAGAAACTAATTTGAATAAAGGAAGTTCAACCCAAAAAGAAACCAGAACTGAAATATTTCTGAATATCCTTGAGAGCCATCTACAAAAGATCCAGAAGACCACAGGTCTAAGTTGTGCTATTGTTTTACTTGGTTTGAGGAGCACGTGAGTGTGCTTGGGGGCTACTTCCAGCACCTTGGTAAAGGCTATTTCCTGGGGGGTCGGGGGACAGTGTTTAGGGGGCCAATCTGGGATTCCAATCCAATGGGTCTCAGGAAAGCAAGCGTTCCAGCCCTCAAAGCATCTCCTGGGCCCGTTAGCAATATATCCCAATGAATTTGTTTAAAAGCATTTTACATCAGATCTTTGAGTTACTAATTGCCCTTCCAAAGCTTTTATATTTCCTGCTGTTGAATGAGTCCATGATGAATTAGATTTGTTCACTCTCTTGATAATCACAGTCCCTAATTTGGGTAAAGCACTGCATCAGGTGTTAAGAGACCTTTTTGGGTTGCCTTTAGATCCTCCCTCTAAAGCACAGTTCCCATGGCCCTGCTAAATCACTTCCATTCACTCTTCAATCTCTGAAAGAGTCACTTCCTACAGGAAACTCTGATTCCCCCAGTCTCAATGACAGGCACATGCTGACCACTCAGATTCCACCGGTAGGAGATACTGCATTGGCAATTACATTTATGACACTTGCAATGACTTGCTCAAGTGACTTTCTGCCCTGTTAAAATATAAACTCCCTGAACACTGAGAAGCTTCTCCTCTCACTGTCCAACACAGCAACAACTGAGATTGGCTGTCGCAATCACAGGCTGCCACTAGACTGGAGGAGGCTACATCGGGTTAAGTGGCCGTTGCACATAGAAACAGAAGAAGAAAGAACTAGATCATGTTTCAAGAGGGCAGAGAGATCTGTGTTGGGAGCAGATCTAACCACCCATTCAGCTGATTTCTCCTTTCGAACACACTAGGAAATGGAGTTGAGAGGCAGCACGTCAGGAGAAGGTAAGGCCTGAGAAGGTGTGAGAGGAAGGTCAGCATCTGAATTTGCTGGTCTCAAGAGCTGCCTGCAGACGGGCAGCAGATGCAACTTTCTGTGCCCACTGAAGCTTTGCAACTTCTCCTTTTTTTGATCTCTTTGGATTTTTTAAATTAACTTTACTGAGGCACTGTGGTTGGCAACGTTACTCATAGCTGAGTTTCAGGCATCCAATGCTCTAGTACCAATTCCACCACCAGAGTCAATTTCCGTCCACCAATGACCCCAGGTTCCCTCCCATCCCCTAGCTGCCTCCTTGACAGGTACTTTGTTGTTGTTTGTTTGTTTGTTTGCTTTCAGGCCACTCCTAGCAGTGCTCAGGGCTTACTCCTGGCTCTGCACTTGGAATTACTCCTGGCAATGTTCAGAGGACATCTGGGATGCTGCAGATTGAACCTGGGTTGGCTGCTTACAAGGCAAGCACCCTACCTGTAGTGCTATCACTCTAGCCCCAATCGACACATTTTAAAGTTTGGTTGCTGTGGTCTGAATCTCACGCTTGCAGTCTTGTTAGCTCTGAGATTTAGATATACCATATAACACAGCTCTAAAACACTGCTGTCCCTACCCGTTATCTCCCTTCTTCTTACTTAACCCCCAATATCTTTCAAATTATCAATATCTTTAAAATTACTATGGCGTAGGTCATTAATTTGCAGTAGTGTACTGTGCACTAGTGTTGCCACAGCGGTAAGAATTGCAACCACTAAATCCTTCTCCCAAAGGAGGGGAAGTCACAGCTCAAGCTTGTGTCGAAACCAAAACTGAAAAAATAAGGGGCTATTTGGCCCCCCCAACTGCTCCTCAGTAATCATCAGGAAGCATGAATAAGTGGGGTGATGGAGGTAGGCAAAGAAGACAGCATTCCCACCACTGTTAGGGACAGGGATAAGAAAAACCGATGTATTCGATGAAGCAGAAGCCAACTCAAGTCTCCCTACTCTTGAGGGAACTGTGAGAACAACTCACACACAAAATCTGAAACTTCCCTTACCCACAGACAGTTCTTAAAACAGGTGTCAATGAAAGGAAAGTGGAATGAGCTCCAGAGCCAGGCTTCGTTTTCCACAGACTGCCCAAACCAAATTAGGTCTGTCACGGGAGATGAGGTCAGGGGGTCAGGCTGGTCGCAGCTCATCCTGCCAAACTCCAAACGCAAGCGAAAGGAAAGTCTAAGACTCTGCAGTAAGGACTTGGCAGAATTAATATTCCCCAGTCTCTTTCCATGCTGGAGTTTTGGGGTCAGGTAGGAAAGGGATAAAATAATACATTCAGAGACCAAAAAGACGACTGAAGACAAAGATGTGACAAGGAAATTTGGGGAGGGTTGCAAGTAGAGAAAAAAATGGGAAGAACTTCAAGAGACAGAGACAAGTGAAGACAAGAAGGTACAGAGGAGCCGGGCAGTTAGTAAACCACATCCAGGCAGTCCACCTTTTCCCAAATCCAAAAGCTACCCATTGCATCCCAATAAATCACTCTAACACAAAGCCCCTACAGCTGATTGTCCTCTGCTTTTGGTAACCAGCGGTATTTCACAAAGCACTGCTCAGAGGTAACTTGGGAAACCTAAAGGCCAGAATTAACAATGCACAAAATTGGTCGAGCTGCGGAAGGCAATCCCTAATAGCTTTCCCCCTCCTGACTGACTCGGCTATGAACAGGCTTGACATTTCAGCGTCTACTTGAAATACTCTGGCATTTTTCCTCCTTTTGACATTCCCAGGGGGGGTGTGGCTGACCCCAGGTCCATTCATTTCCAAGGTTATAGATCACTGTTGTTGAGACTGGCCCCATCTGTTCTGGAATCAGCCAGCTGTTTATCTCAAAGAAACATATTTACTGCGCGAATCATCCTAATAACTCTTTCAAGCTGAGAGCCAACATTGTATAAGTCAGAATGCTGTTAAATGTGTCGGGTTTGGTTAGAAATAAAACACACACACACACACACACACACACACACACACACATACACTATTACCACTCTGTGCTCTTTGGTCCCACTGGTGGTCAGGGCTGGGGACATTCGGTGGATCCCTTCGGGAAATGGCAAACGAAGGTTAAAAGCACTTTTAATTTCACCTTTCCCTGGTGCATTAAAATAAACCGGAGTTGCCCTCATCAGCCCTTCTCCAAACCGTTATTTGCAGACAGGGTGGCTGTGCTCATTACAGTACCATTGTCCAAGGCGAGCCTATTGCAATGCAATTAAAAAACACCCACAAAAGCACAAACCTGACGGCTCCACTTCCAAACAATCCTGCAGTGGGGGGGAGAAGAAAAGCATTTAACAAAAACCGCTTGCAGCGTCGAGCAGCCCGGGAGGGAGAGCCTGGTCCAGGCACGTGAGACGCTTCCGACCGGCACGGAGCGCAGCAGGAAAGGACACGGTCACCTCGGACGGGCAGAAGAGAGGAGACCAGAGGCACGGGGACGCTCGGGAAACTGAGCCCCGCCGAACTCGACCCACTCCGCTGCACGCTCCTCTCCTTGCAGGGGCGGCCGGGCGTGCAGAGCATGTAGCGCGGCCACATGCCAGCCCTGTCTCCGCCGCGCCCCACGCATCACCCCTGCCCACTCAAGCCTCAGCATCGGCCCTGAGTGGACACGACCGCCGTGCCCCGCGGGGGCTGCCTGCCCGTGACGTTCCCGGGGCGCTTCCCCACGACCTCCCGGAGCAGCGCCCACCCGGGGGCTCGGGACCCGGGGACCTGGCACGCGTCGCTCCCCCTCCGCCGTGGAGGGGTGGGTGGGTGGGGGGAAGCCCGCCGGAGTTGTGCTTTGCAGTGACCCAAATTGCACCGAGCTCCCGGCTCGGCCAGATCCTCCCGCCCCCACCTCCCCAAAAGCCAGCCCCGAGAACTCAGCGGGGAGGAAGAACTTGGGAGAGCCCTTGAACAGGTCACTGGCACTCACCTGGCTCGGGATGTTTCTCCCCTCCCCAGGCATGCACCGGCAGTGAGACCCGAGCGAGTCCCGCACGCACGCACGCACGCACGGGAGAGGGTGGCGAGGTCCGAAGCCCAGCGGCCGGAGGCAGCCCCTGCCCTGCTGCTGCTGCTGCTGCTGCTGCTGCTGCTGCTGCTCCGAGCTCAGCTGGAGCGAGCGGCAATTGCAAGCCCAGCAGCAGCAGCGGCGGCGGCGGCGGCGCGGGGTGGGGGTGGGGGGGGTGGGGTGGGGGGTGGGGCGGGGGTGGAGGGACCGGAGCACAATGAATGCAGCGGGGCTTGGGCGATGACATCATCCCTCGGCCCGAGAGGCCCCAATCGCCGCGGGCGGGAGCGGGGCCTTCTGGGAGTCGTAGTCTTCGGCGCGCGCAGCCGGGCGCCGAGCCTCCGCCGGGGAACTACAATGCCCACAATGCACCGCGCCGCGACGCGCCCGGCGCTCGTGGGGGGAGGAAATGAAGCGGGCGCCATATTGGCGCTCGCGGGAACGCGGCCGTGAGCCCCGCAGGAGGATCTTCTCGGGCGCCCGGGAGCCGAGTGGCGGTGCCGTGGGCAACGGTGAGGCGGAGGACGGCGAGCCGGGAGGTGGACACGGCCTCGGGGAGCCGGGTGGCCGCCGCCGCCCCGCGCCCGGGTGGGTCCCGGCCGGGCCTCCGGAGCGCGTGGGGCCGGCGGGCGCCGAGACGGGGCCAAGTGCAGGCCGCGCTGCTCGGGCCCGACCCTTGGCGGGCGGCGGGGTGGACGGAGGCCTCTCCGGGGTCTGGGGGGCCCCGCTTCTGTCTCCGTCCTCGTGTATGTGGCCCCCCCCGGCCCCCCCCCCCCGCCGCGCTCCCCCGTCCTGGTCTCCCACGCGGGGGCCGAGTTGGGAGGGAGCCGCCGCCGTGGGGGCCAGCCGAGGCCCGCTGACCGCTCGCCCCCAGGCTGGCGGCTGCCCATCACCTTGCAGGGCCGAGCCTGGCGGCTGCCCATCACCTTCCTGCGCGGCCCGCCCTCCCGGGCACCCCCGCGAGCAAGGCCGAGGCTGGCACTGCCCACTCGGCCCCGCGTGCAAAGTCGCGTGTGGGCCCGGGATGCCGCGAAGTGGGTCGCCGCCGCCGCCGCCTCTCCTGTTCGGATCCGGCTGCGGATTTCCCCGCGACCTTGTGCGAGACGGAATCGGTGGCCTTTGGGTCCTCTTCCGCTTGTCCCTGTCCCGGTCACCTTTCTCCTCCTCCTCCTCCTGGACCTCCTCTCCCTTAGCGGTGTTACTAAAACTGTCTTGTGTGTGTGTGTGTTTTTTTTTCCCCACCCCTCAGAGACTTCGCTGCACCCTGGAAAGACGCACAACAATTCAATCACAGAGCATCCTGCTATTCGTCGATGGCCTCGAGCAGGCCCCAGTAACGTCTCCTTCGTCCTAGCCCTGAGATTATATTCGAGGCTCAATAGGAGAATGAGACCCATCATTGTTACTGGTATTTGGCATATTGGGTACGCCACGGGGAGTTTGCCAGACTCTGCCCTGTGTGGCAGGCTACATTCGATAACTTGCCAGTTTGTCCAAAGTAGGAATGAGATAATAAGATGTCATAAAAAGATGTCCTGAAAAGATGTCGCACGGCCGCGAATGCGGTTCCGGGAGCTGGATTTTATAGTCTCTGAGTCTTGGCCGCTGATGGGATTACACGGCGCCAGTGGGCCAGGTGGTGGGTCTGACCCCCGCCTGCTGGAATTTGGAGGATCTGGGTGGAGGATGCTCGACTCCAATTCGAGTAGGCTTGGAGGTCTCGGCCCCGGAACCCGCGTGGCTTTGTCCCTCTGCCAGTACCTTCATGTGTGCGGAGAGTGGTCTCAGCATGGTGGTGGCTTGTTTGTTTGAGACGCGAGTTTGTTTGTTTTTCCCCCCCCCCCCTCCCGCAGGTCCTCAGAAAGATAAAGCAAAATGCTGCTAGATTCAGCGCGGTTTCTCGCGCTCTCTCCCGGCACACGATTCCGAAGATTCCGAAGACCGGTTTTCTTTGGATATGCTGAATACTGAGTGCATGCGCCTCTCTAGGAGCTCATAAAATCGCAGCTGGTAAACTCTGTCACACCAAAGGTAGCAGGGTTACAGACGACAAAAAGCAGGGTAGAAACGGGCTCACACGGGCGTGTGCAGGTGTTCCCAAGGTTACCGACTTAGTCACCCCCTTTTCCTTCGGTGTCCCTCTGGAATTAGACCTTTTAACCAAGAACCAGGATGAAAAGCTCCCAGTTGCCCCCAAAGCTTCTACTGTCTCCCTGCCACCTGTTTGTCCAAAGGGGCACTGTCATCTACTTGGGCCAACACTGGTATGGGCAGATGAGTACTGAGCCTGTCTTAGGAAGAATGTTCTAGCTCTTGTCTCTTGGAAAATGTCAGATTACTTCCTATTCAGACAAAGATGACACGTTAGCTTTCTTTACTCTGCAAAATGGGAAAAGCTCATGCAGATATTTGAGTGTTATCCGAAATGCCTTCTTTGCAGATGAGGGTAAGTATAGGGAAAGGGATGGTGTTTACTGTTTTCTTCCTGCTTTTCGGTATAACGGTTGAAATGTTTCCAGCTTAAAGAGATCAAATGGAATGCACGTGTTTACATTTGGTCTGAGTTTCACACATATTTTAAGAGTTGAGAGTGTTTTTTTAATACAAACTTAAAATCTTATTTATTTTGTATTTCTTAGGTAAGCAGTAACTTAATTAAGTGTTCATTAATATGGAAGCTAGATTTCTGGATTTAAAACAAGTCAACCCAATGTCCAGGCAAGTAGCCCAAGTAGTAAAACACATTCTTGGTGTACGTGGGCATGCAGCCACCCCAACCCAATGTTTAGAGTGCTGGGCTTTTCTTGATGTCCACTCCCAGACATCACTGGGAAGTACGAGAACTACTGAGGAATTTTGTTTGTGAAATTTAACACTTAGGAAATGCTGTGATTTATGGGTCCAGTGAGATAATACAGCAGGTAAGGCATTTTCCTTGCATGCAGCCGGCCATGGTTCTGCCCCCACCGTCCTTATGGTCCTACGAGCGTTGGCAGGAGTAATTCCTGAGCATAACTGGGTGTGGCCCAAAAAACCCAAAAGAAATTGCTTTAAAAATTATTTAAGAAACTTGTGATACTAGTTTCTGAAAGAGTAACCTTAGTGCTCCTCAAATTACTAGGTTAGAAAAACTTTGAAAGGCGGAGTTAGTAACACCTCAGTGAATAAATTAACCTATATCCTTTATCTCAATTACATACTGTGTGTGATAACTATAGGCAACTAGTTAGTTTTAAGTCAGTTGCTCTTAATGGTTTTTTTTTTTTTTAGCAGAGTTAAGGCTCAAGGTCACCTGTAGAACTCTGAAAATATGTATTTCCCATTTAAGTTGCTCTCCAGGTATGGAATCAGGTATTATACTTTAAAAACCCTACACAAGTCCCCAGGACTAAGGTAGATCAACTAATTCTCATCCCATCCTGGTGATTTTTATAGTGTGTCGTTTTAGCGAGAAAAATTTCTGCGGAGATGCTAGATGTATTACTAGTTAATAGCTATCAGTGAATTCTGAAATATGAGGAAATCACTGAGGATGAACTTAAACATAATAGTTACTAGGGAAGATGGGAGGGAGATTCTATTTTATATCCTAACTGAATATTTTAGTGAGGATCTAGCCTAATGCTATAGGTAAAATAGATCCATGAAGAGCTTAATACTGCAAAGAAATGTCTTGGGCCAGGCAGGTGCATGATAGCGCTGGAGGCCTTCCTTGGGTCCCCTGCCCTCCCTGCTCTCCGAGGCACCTGAGCAGCAACAGGTGGTGCTGAAGCCTGAAAAGTGGCAACAGGCTTAGCCACAGAGGCAGTAAGGTATTTAAGAATTTTCTGAAAATACTTTTTCTCTAATCTTACTCTAAGTCACAAGTAGTTTAATCACATACTCCACGAAGTACCTTTACAATAGGTAAATGATACATAGCAGGATACTTCTCTTTTTAGTTCCATTCGTGTCTGCTAAAGACAGTGCCCAGAATATGAGTTTGAATTAAAAGAGCTCCAAGTGTCAAAACTCCTGAAAAGCCATCCTAAGAGGAAGAGGGCTCCTGGGGGAAGTTTTAAAGACTGATTTGGAGTTTGGGTGAATAAGTATCGTGCATCTGGATACATACAACTCATACAGCTTTGTTTTGAAATGGGTCATGATTGTCTTATTCAGTGTCAAAGGAATTCTAGACCTCAGTAATATTGGCCTCCAGGCAGTATTGGCGGGATTAAACAGAATACATAAGGCATTTAGCAGAGGGTTCTGGGTTTTTCCTTTGTAACCGGTCTCTTGGATGATGGATCCCCATGGACAAGGGTTACCTCTGCCTTTTCAGCAGTGTGTTCATTGGAACTCAACCAATTTTCTTACTCCGATAGAGATGCTCAAGGACAAGAAATTTCAGCCTCTACTACAAAGAAAGTGCCTGGGGTGATGGAAGAGTGGCTGCTACCTGTGTTTTTATTTCCTCGAAAGGGAGCCAGTTTTCTTAGAGTCACAGATGAAGTACCCCCCACCAAGTAATAGTAGCATTTTGCTTTCCATCAGTTAGGAAAATCAGATCGTTTCTTCATTGACAGTTACTGTAATTAGAAAATGGTATTCTTGGGCAAGATAGTACAGCGGGTCGGGCATTTACCTTGCACACTGCTAACCTGAGTTTACACTCCAGCATCCCATAGAGTACCCCACAGCGCTGCCAGGGGTAATTCTTGAGTGCAGAGCCAGAAATAACCACTGAGCATCAATCTAGGTATAACCCCAAAACAAAAAAAGGTATTCTTGGGAGAGCATTAGAATTTTTTCATGACTAGCCAAGTTCTAAAGAAGTACCAAAAATTATTTGCTCCTTTTTTGCACAGCAGAGCCTGGCAAGTTACCCAGGTGTGCTTGATGTGCCCAAAACAGTCACATTGATGGTCCTCATTCTCCTGACCCTGAAACCCCCCAGTACTCCCATTGGGCTACACTAGCACACGAC